GAATTATACTCATGAAACGGTTAATCATACCGAGAACTTTGTGGATCCAACGACTGGAGCACACACACAAAACATCGAATCACTTTGGCACGTCTACAAGACGCAGAATTTACGCCAATGCGGCACACACCGATCATTGGTGCGTCAGCTACATGTGTGAGTTCGTTTAGAGGCAAAGGTACTGAAAAACGGATTTTTTCATACAAATTATTAATAAGTGGGTGGTGGGGGTTAATTTCTTAGCGGGGCTTATCTGGAGAAGATCCGAATACATACTGACGTTGTTATGCCAACCAGCAAGACCAGCTGCAAAAATGCTCATTGGGAACCCGAGGACATCGACTCAGCATGCATTGTTTCAGTCCGTTCTCAACTTTATTGATTTCAGTCAATATTTAGAGTGTCTAACCTACTAGTGGAATTTTCAACATCACAGCACCATATAACAGAAGAAGACATCCTGAAATCCGTCCGAACTACTAACACATGTCAGCATCAGTAGTATATATCATATCATGTGTGTAAAATGCCACCTAGTATATGAATTTTCAGCATTCAATCCTTGAATTTCGAGACAAACTACTGCGCAAATTCAGTAACTTATAGATTTCAACTGATCCTTGAGAAGCAACGGATGATTGGTCACAAAATCTCCACTTTCTCCAGATAACTGATAAAGTCTACAAGGTCGAATCCGAGAAAACAGTACAACTGACATTTTTGTTAGGCAGCAACTGACATACAGTTTTATCAAACTCTGTTAAGTTTTCCTCCCCATTCAGCTACTCCATTCGCTCCGAGAGTTAATTGAACCTAATTGGGTGGCTATGATTAATGCGAACGATACGAGCGAAAAGGCATTAGTTGAATTCGTGAGACATTGACAAATTGCCAGGACCTCCCAAACCGTCAAGAAAATGCATTTGTGAAAATATTTTTGCCAAAATGAGCAGTGTTTTTTATATTTTCTAACGAACCGAACGACAAAAGGCTTGAGAGATAATAAGTGAAACATGGGGTAGTTGAACTGGGGCCTTCATTCGGTGCGCAGAAGTTTTCTCGGTGAGGCACGTTTCATGGCACGTGGGTCCAGGCACGTTGTGAAATAAACCGTTTCAGCGAAAAAAATCGATTGTTTTCAAGATGCTTGTCACTCTCTGAAATATTATGTGCACTGATTTAAGTCTTTTGTTCAAGTTGTCGAAAGATAAAGCTTCTCCCAAACTGTTGTCAGATCATGACAAAGATTCGACAGACTCTTATCCTGACCAAAGCAGAAAGTGAGTGACCTTCAGTGAGTTTTGAACAGCAGTCAAATACAACGGTAGATGAGCTGTGGGCTGTCGACAGATTTTCAGCAACCTTATGAGTAGCACATTACAAAGATGTACATGTATCGCGATATCTCGAATATCGTAGCGACTGAAACATGAGACGGCCTGGTACAGCACATTCAGTTGCCTGGAAATATTGCAAACGAGAAATTCAGTTGGGTTCCAGGTGATCTTCCTGCAGCGTTTGGCCAGCGGCACCCTCCAGCTGGGGGGGAGTCAATTTAGGGACGAGTCCGGTCATTCAGCTTACCACCTTGCAAAGACCGACCTAACCCCCTTGGGAGTCGACCAGACTCTTCTTCAGTTGGTTGTCTACATTTGCTTTCTTGCTAAGCCCACACGAGGAAGTTCCCCTGTATGCTCATTCACGTTATACGGTTCTGTCTGGGTGATCAGAAATTGCAGAACCTTCTACATCCTTCGCCGTTTCCAGTCGGAACATGTTGTCTGTCGGCCGCTAGTCTCTTGTATGCAAGTGGACTGTGTGCATAAAGCAAAGTTTGGACAGTCCTCTGGAAAACGTTCGGGACCGATTGAGAAGTCCTCGTTTCAGAAAAGCTTGATAAACAATCGGTAGTTTTTATTTTGGGCAACGCTTCGCTTTTGACACGAAAGCTTCATCAGGCCAAGTGAGCAGGTCACCAAATTGACCAGGTTATAAGGCAGACAGGGGACCAATCAGTAAGTCAGTCCTCTTCAGATTATCTCACCAGATCAGTGCCAATTAACGCTTCTTGTCGGCTAGTGCGGTTGTCGAAATCTTGCGTTGGTGGATTGGGGGAGTTTCAAATTAATTCTGATTCTCCACTTCAGGGTGCTTCAGTTGATGATTTACATCGGTTACCACTGGTAGATTTTCCTTGGTCTTTGTGGGGTTGTGAGTGCTCCGACAATTTAGTTTGCGGGGGGTTGAGGTCAAGTGGAATTCAGACGGTGACTACTCTTCCTTCTGATGACAGCACACCAACACGTGTCATTTCGACTGATCCAAAACTGTTCTCCTCACGCATGCCAGTTCCATGCCTTCTGTTAGCACTGGGATGCTTGGCGATTTCTACAGCCTCGGCGATCAGTCTGTGTGATGTGGACCGTAGTCCCCGCCTCAAAACCTCAACATTTTCTAAATCTGTTTTGTGTCCCGTGTCCAGTGCGTGTCCTGCAATTGCCGAGTCTTTCAGTAACGCTTGATATTCATCTGCGTTTTTCAACGGTCTGTTTATTTTTCTACTATGCTCTCCGACTCCGATGTGTAGACAATCGTGGACAATCCTGTCCGCTCAGAGTTTTGTTCGTCCGGCAAACATACATTCATTATATGCCTGCATATTTCCAGTGGTGGGTGCGGACACAAAATGATGTCTTACTAAACCTCGATCAGCAAATGAACTTGAAGACTTTGAGGGATATATTTTGGTGATGAGTAGATCGGGTTCGATTTCTATGTGCGATCATTTCGGAAATCTTCCAGTACTTTCTGGAAGAGAAACAATGGATTAGGAAAAAGCGATGTCTTCCCTCGACTAGACGTGCCAATTCAATGAGCCAACGGCATCCACAGTTGTGGATAAATACTCTCACTTGTAATGTGCTACTCATGAGGTTGCTGAAAATCCGTTGACAGCCCTTGACCGGTTTCGCCCTTTTTGGGGCGAA